CTGTTCTTTATTTCTACTGAATAAGTCAAACTAGCCAATAATAAGCATTTTTAACAAAGGTTTTTTAAATCTTTTCTTAATTACATATTTTTATTTGTTTTTTGTCTGAATCTTACATATTTGAAATTTAAATAACAATTTAAAATTTTAAATATTTTTAAAAAGAAATCTTTCAATATACAAATTAAGAAAAAAACCTTGCTGATGAGAAACAATTCCATCCTACATTTAAAACAAGAACTCCATGTACATAAATGTGTGTATTTGTGTTTTTATGGAGATTTATCATTATATATATGTAATTAGTTATTTACAATGAAAAATTAAGAACTTATTTTTAAAGCCATTCATTTTATATTCCGAAGCTGTTGTTGATATTTAACCTCACACACATGAACCATTTGCACATTCTATACACCATATATTGTTCTATGCAACTAAAAAGTATTGCTGGGTCACTTGGTGAAGAAATATAAATTATATAACATTTAGTTACCTGATAACAAAAAAAGCAAGTAACTTTTTAAGTAAAGTTTAAATTTCTTCTATTCAACCTTTAACAAATAACAGAAGTTGAAATTTGTAATTTGGTATAAAGTTTTCTAGATCTGCAATTTGATTTCTTTGGTGTTCATTTTATAAGATATGACAAGTAAATTAGTTTATTTTTTTAAACACTCAAAGAAATATATCCTTTGTTACTTTGGCTTATTATTATTAAATGACACTTATGGATGCATGAAAGCAGTCAATTTTGTTTTATAAATTGACTGAATATAGAGTAAACTCATTGTAAAATTAAGAAGATACAAAAATTATTCTAATTTTTAAAGCAAATAAATTACTCTTCCTTCAAACAGAAACATATTTTCTGCATTCCTTTGGGGCATGTAGAATCCAGTAGTTGTCTAAGTGTTGCTCACTACTTTGTTTACCTCAGATCCAAATGTGTTCACGGAACACACAGAAGTAAAATTCAGCAAAAATTAACTTAATATCAGAACTTTCACTTCCCTTTTATTTGTATATCACAATTTCTCTTTTCTTATAAGATACCCAAATATTAAGCTGAAATTAAAAAGTTGTTGAATTAGAAGTAATGTTAGATAAAAGAAATATGCTAAAATATAGTATAAAATCTATGCTAATCATGGGCATATGGAGTAAAACATAACTATTGCATGAGAGTATAGAAGAAAAATGAATACCATATAATGTGCAAAGATTATAAAAGGGCAAATGATGAGAGAAAAAATAGAATGAGAAAGAAACAGATTTTATATAAATACATATAGTATATATAAATAGTACAACATAAAAATCAATATATGAATAAAAAAAAGAATATTTTTCTTCTCAAAATTGTAAAGTATACCTATGCAAATTAGGAATTTAAAAGGTATCATTTAAAGTTTTATGTACAAATAATAAACAAATTCAAATCAAACTGTGATATGGAACTCATTCAAAGTGAATATAATGTAAAAGAAATATAGAACAGATTGATAAAGAGTTATTGAAGACATCATTATCATCATTTTGAGACTACCAAATTTGTTATCAATTTAACTATTGAAGGTACAAAAGCATACAAAATGAATGTTTCCAAGAAAATTAACAAATATGATTCAAATTTAAAAAACAAATGATGTGCATCATTAAGTACACACAACTATAATGCATTATGTTTTATATCAATTAAAAAAGCATGTTTTACTAGCATTTCATTTTCTGTTACAATCCATTTTCAAATTTTATAACTTAATAAAAAATCAATATTAGTTATTTACAAAGAGTGTTGAAAATTTCTCAGCCCCAAAGATTAAAAAAATTTCTCATATTTGATCATTTGGTCAGGCTACCATTTTCACCCCCACCATTTTATAATTTTACTAAGAATAAATTTATATTAACATATCTTTTAAACCTATTTGAAGTTTTAAGCTATATAAGTAAATAACAAAATTGCTGCACTTGTCCAGTAGAGCATATATAATCCAAAATAGTTTACATTTTGCTATTCAGTTTCTTTTACCAACAATTAATTTCTCTACTGATAACTTTTGAGCTATTATATTCAAATGGTCACCAAAACTATCATTTCTTTTATTCTTTTCTTAGTCAAACAACTATTGCTAGCAATAAGAAATTCAAACTTCACAGAACATTCATATTTCTGAGCCCTGTAAAGAGGTTGAAAAAGAAAATACATCACTATATCAAGTTTATATAAAATAAAATCTTCCAACAAAATTAGCTGTTAATTGTCATGTTTGATGCAATATCAATGCATTATAAAACAATATTCAAATTACTGAATTTTTTTAAGAAATGAAAATTTAAAGGAAAAAGGACTAGAATACTTATCTAAAACAAAAATATATATATTCAATTCTTCCTTCATGTGTACTATACACAGAATTATTATAATTATTTCCTTGATTCTAATGTCTGACAATAGTCTCTTAAATTTATTATTCTTAATTTCCAATACCTAGCTTAAGTGAATTTACTTTCTAAAAGGTAACTTTACATTTATCCTTTCAAAAAATTATAAATGACATAATTTTTATGATGATGTTTGAAAAATAAAAATATTTTTATCAAATCTCATTTATTTATTAATTCTTCCAAATTAATCTTACTTATTTATAGCCTATACTATTATTTTTAATAATGCAACCATAATAATCTTTACACTCACTTTACTTGAACATTTTCAATTTGTGCTAAAAAACACAATCTTATATAACATGTCTCTTAAGTTCTTTGAATGAGATATTTCAACATAGGAGTTTGTATTTTCTGAGACACTTCATGGGATATTTTGAAAAGTAGTTCACACAATTCTATTTGATACCTATCAGAGAGCATGATAAATAAAATATTGTCAAGAAAGAACACAGAATATAACTTTTCTATAAACATTTCACTGATATTTTTACATTCAGCTTATATAGCTGCAGAATTTTCAGTTTACATTTTCTATAGACTCATTTTTTGGAGTTAAAAATACAGAAAAAACTATAAAGTGATTAGAGTAAATCAAACAAATAGTATTCAGTGATTGCATATGACTTAAATAAATATAAAGCTATACTTTCTAAATGTCATCATTAGTTCAAAGTATCAGTAAAAATTTGAATAGATGTAATATATTATCTTTTGGGTTAAAGATTCCAAAATCCTAAAAGTGAATTTATAATCCATATCTGAATAGTATAGAAAATTGTTCATCTGCTATATAATATTTCATCACACTTTGGCTGCATGAGTGAGAATATAATGTCATGTATATTATCAGCTATTTATATCTACAAAGAAAGAATCCTAATGAAATACTACTACAAATAACATTATATAATTGTATTTCCCATATAACAATTTAATGACACAAAATTGATGTGTACATATATCAAACTATATGAACAAAACCTGACAGTTAAAAAAGTCAACAGCAGTCTATGTACTTACAATGAATGGCTAAAAATGTTTTGGGTGATAATTTCAATCATGTATTTCACTTGTGTGACTAAAGGAAATTTAAAACACAAAAATCATAATGAATATAAGTAGGTGGTTGATAACAGTTTATAGACATGTATAATTTATATATATGCAACCTTTTAGATGTCTGACATTTAAAAATGTACAATTTCCTTAAAAAGATGAGAACAACTTTACTTTGGGAAATATGCATTTATGTTGTTACTGAAGTCTGCCATTAGAACTCAACTAGAACAATTTTGTGCACATGACGAAACATTTGACATTATAAGGTCTGTATTTCAGTTTCTTACGTGATTCAAGTTATTTCCTAGCAGAAATGAATTTTCATCAAATATAAATATTTATATTATAATTTATTTGAGAAAATCATGGTACAATTAACAAAAAATACGGATCATATTCAGTGTCAGAATATTTTCCTTGATCTACTTTTTGATACTCTTATTTTAATCTCTATTTCAAATCATTCATTTCCAATTTGAGTTAAATGGGTCAGCTGGTGCAGGATCATAAATGACGGAAAAGTAGGTTTTTGTTTTTCACAAATTTATTTTATAATCCAGTGATTATCATATCAAAGCAAGACAATAATTTTAAATATTCAAAGAAATACTTATATTTAAATTGTATGCAAAACATATAGAACATCTAAATATTTAAGCAGATTAAGAACATAAAATTGTAATATAATCTCTGGTTTTGTTAACCACTGATCAATAAATTAAAAAAATTGAAAAATGTATTATTTTTCAAGTGAAAAGCCTTTTTAATATTTTGCAAAATGCTATGCCAAAAGTAAAAGTACTGAGGTTTCTGTTTACAATTCAAAAATTTTGATGTATGGTTTCATTGTGATTTGTCATAGGATTTTCTTGTGTTCACTTAACTTTGCACAAACTATTGCACATTTTGACTGAAAACTTGAAACTTCAATGCAATTCAAAAATTACTTTTTCTACAGAATTATAAATTCTAACACAATGAACACTCCATATTTTTTTTATTAAAAAGTTTTTATTTAGTTCTTTTTTAATTCTCTTTAATTCCACATATTTAGGCTAATTTTATTTCTTTTATTCAAGATTTAGCTGTCCTCCTTTTATTCATCTCTCTCCCTCTCTCTCTCCATTTTATTATAACACACAACAAAAGCATAATTACTAACAACAGCAACAGTATGAATGAATGAATTGCACTTATACATGATTTCTTACTTCACAGCATTCTGATGAAAGCTCCTGAGAGCTGTTAGTTAATTCAAGTGATATCAGTTATGCACTTTGATGTCTAAAAACAATGACAGTCACCTGCATAGGTAAAAGTCTTTCAGTTTAAGGTAAATTGACACCAAATGTAAAAGGAAGAGAACTCTCAAGAAATAATTAATAATAACAACATAAAAAACAACATAAATAGAAAATAGCAATTCAAGCAGAAAGTTGAAGCAAATTATTTTCACTTGTTTATTTTTTTTAATTTCTTTATTCTTTTCACAATTTTTCTTGGCATTTTTCTGTTTTACGAACACAGGGTGCAAAAAAAAAACAAAAACGAAAAAAAAACATTAATTGCTGTAGCGCTCCTGCCAGTGCCAAGATAGACGGACAGATATGGATTTGTGTGTTGTGCGGAGAGATCAGGCTACCTTGAGAAGGTAGATGTGTAATAAAATAACCGTGGTTGGTAATGATGTGATGAAGTCGCCATTTTGCTCGGCTGCTGGCAGGGAGGTAATCAATCAAAACAACACCTACCTGTCGAATGAAGCTGTTGGAACTGTCTGAAAAACTGCCATCTGACCGCTTAAACTTCCCTCCTTTGCGTTTCGATCCCTTTCCCTGATAAAAATAAAGAAAGCAAACAACAAACATACAACAGCAGCATAATTAAATTTTTTGACAACTTTGCCCTATTTTTATTTTGTACTTCGTTTCATGACTGAAATTTTATATTAAATAAAATTAAAAGAAAAAAGAAGACTCGTCGGCCGCATCATTTATCAGCCTCTAGTCAAGTAACACTTTGGCTCTAATTTAAAACAGGCAGTTAAAAAAAAAAAGAACCAAAACTAAATCAGAAATGGAAAAGAAAATTACGGAAAAGGTATAAGAATGGAAAAGAAAAAGAAAAAGTGATCGTTGTACGTACATATGAGTTTATGAATGAGCCTACACCATTTCACAAGCGACGCATGGGGAAATTCTTACAACCATTTGAAATTAAACTCAAAGCTTATGATCAGCACATTTCACTAGAATTTATGATTTTTTTTTAATCAATATATTTTTTTTAATCCTTTTATTACTCAACTGAGTCATAACAAAAAAGAAATTTACATCTGGCTTGTGGGAGAAAGGAACTCAACTGAATGATGTCGCGGTGATAAAGAAAGACGCTAGTTAAACTTAAAAATAAAATTATAATTTTTTCTGGATTTTTTTAATGGGAGAGAATTAATAAAAATCTAAATTAAATAAAATAAGAAACTGACGTCTTTTTTCTAATTTAATGAATGCCTGAAATGATGAAAATATACGTGATACATTTTTGTTTCCAAAGTTGAAAGTTGCAAAAAAATTAATAAATAAAATAAAAAATCGGGTTCATTAAATTCTCTCTGGAGAAGAAAAGGCTAAATTTCTGAACGAATTTACGAAAAAGTCTTTTTAGAAAGAACTTTAATGCGAATTTTAAAAATTTCCTTACAACAAACAACATAATGTAGAAAATAAAAAAAAAATAAGGTTTTATAAAACTGTTTTTTCGTCAAGTCACGGAAAATTAACGTCACAGACACCGAATGAATGAGTGATTACAAAATGAGGGATCAGTATCATCATTTATTATTCTCTTTATTAAAAAAATGATGAGTATATATTTTTTTTTTAATAATAGGAAAAGTACCTGCACAATTTGATAGTTAGATTTTTCTTCCCTGTCATGAAGATTATTTGTTTTTCTCTTTGTACATCAATCGCTGGTTTAAGTTTAATTGAAGTGGTAAAAATTTTAAAACTAAACAGCAGCAGAACAGATTGAACATCATTTTTTTTTAAATAATTAGGACAAATAATTTTAATCATTAAGTGCTATAGAAATAGAGTTATTTCATTATAAATTGGATGCATTACATTCAAAATGAATAAAAAAAAAAACAATCAATTTGTGTAGTGAAATTATTTTATAATGGGATTGTTGTTCCATTTTTTCATTGTACCGTTCATTTTTTAAAAGAAAAAAAAAAAACAAAAACGGTACAAACATAATTACACTTGAACTGAATACAATTTTCTTTTAAATTTACTAACAAAATTCTAAGAACTTGAAATTAATCCCTCAGAATTAGTTAGTTAAGTTAAAATAAATAAAAGCAAATAGAGTACGGATAATTCGAAAAAGACGGAAGAAGAATCATCAACATTTTTCCAGTTTTTCTATGTCAATGTCACTCATCTTCAGTAAAAATAAATTATTCCTCATCATTCTATATTTTAGTTTTACATCTGTGATGTCACATGCCATGCCTTGACATATTAATATTGTTCATATAAAAAGAGAAAGACAGACATGATGATCTTTTTTGTAGTCATGAAACGCAAACTGCCATGGAAGATGGACGTCATCATGAGTGTCAGTATTAAAAATTTAAAAGATTTAATAACAATAAAAACTTATTCTTTTATTTAGAATAGTCATAATGATTAATGTTTATGCTTTATGGTCAACATAAATTTGAAATGTTACACAGCTAAGCAATAGGTAAATATAGGATTTTTTCCGTTGTCAACCTCACGGGGAAACTGAAAGTGTCGTCAAGGTAAAAAAAAAAGAAGGTAAGATCTAATAAATTGAAAACCATATTATTTTTACTAGGGCTCATATTGCAAATAATCCGTTTTACTTCTGACTACTGACTACGAGTTTGCGAAAAAAAAGAAAATGTGGATGGTTCAATTAATAGAGGAATTCAATTGGCAGAAAATATCCAAAAAATCAAATGAGACCATCTTTATTCTTTATTTTATCAATATTATTGAACTAAAATACGATATCTTTCTTAAAAAAATTGTATTCTTCCAGACTTAAAAAGAAAACTACTATTAAAATTTGAATGAATCTATCAAAAAACTTTTTAAAAAATAAATATCTATTTGCTTTCTTTGATTATGAATATTGCTGAAAAGTTTTTAATTACACGCAATATGAAATAAGGGTAAAAATCACACTCATTTCTAGTAACGTTTTTACTTTTAGACATTTTTATTCCCACACGATTTTTTTGTTGTCTGAAATTGAAATGAAAACATTTTATTAAAATTGCATGTTATTTTATTTTTTATAAGCATATCGACTCGCTTTACTCACAAATAATAAGTCAACCTACACATTTTTTTTCTAGAACGAAAAAAAATGGTGAAGCATAGGAAATAAATGTTTGCTCGTAAAAAGGAAAGCGAAAGTAGAAAATATAATTTTAGGGAGGAAAAAAAGGTAAAAAAGAAAACTAAAAACAATCTCGGGTGAGAAAGCTAAAGTATAAAGATGTGGCTGGGTCCAGTCGATCGACTAGGAAGAAGATCCAACAAGTTACTGACTGACTAGTCATTAATCTGGCATCTTTACAAGATTGTAAATGTAGATTTATTTACTAAAAAAATGAAAATAATCGCAACTTATCCTGACAGACGGAGAAGAAGAAAATCAACACTGAACAGTAAATAATTAGTTCATAAATAAAGAAAAACAGAAACAATAATAATTCCAAGAATATGGATGATGATGATGATTGAAAAGGAAGCAAGGCAACAAGCCAATGTTGTCGGGAAATGGATGGAAGAAGGAAGGAGAAATGAACACGGGGACGCCTCCCTTTCTTCAAGAATTATCGGATTCTGGTTCGATTTTATAGAAACATGAATAAAAAGAGAATAATGATTTGGAAGTAATATTTGGGGCCTAAGATAACCATTAGTAAAAAATAGAAATATTTTTCAATAAAGACGATATGAAAGGTACCTGTGTTACGGTTTGCATGTCGCCATCTAACTCTTGGTAATGAGATGAGGGTCGCGCCATGATACGCTGCAGCCTGCCTGCTCCATCAGACCCCGGAGATGTGGTCCGTCCGTTCGTCGGCCTCGGCTCCTGCCACAGTACACAAGTGCAAGCAGAAATCCATTGACAAAAAAAAAAAAAAAAAAAAAAAAAAAATTCAAAAGAAAGATCCTCTAGGAGATTCCCAGCTTGTCCGGGAAAATATTGAAGGCGATAATTAAAGAATTATTTAACTTGATCCAGAGTATACGTGCGGTGCGTGCGTGCAAAGACGGCCGAGGCACGACGCCTAGCCACGGCAAACCTTCCGCCAATAATTCTGTGAAAGAGCAGGGAGAAGAGGAAGTTCGCTCAATTTATTCCTTTTATTCGGCCAGGCGACTCGAAACGTTAGTTCTGGGGTGTTTAAGGCCTCTTTTAAATCTTTCTTCCATCCGTCTGTGTGTAACAGGCGATCTAAGAAAGTGGACGGTGATTGTTAGTGCAAAAATGGCTAGAGAAATGATGAAGAAAAGGAGTTTGACTGTGACGACACACGCAAACGTGACGAACACATTTCGTGGTTGGTTTTTCTGGCCATTAATGTCGCATTATTTTGATCACTTGTTTTTGGCTGTTTATTTAATTTTCTTATTTTTATTTATTTTTCATCCATTAAGTGACTGATTCTCTGTTAGTGCCACAACAAGTTTACCCCTTCGTGGAAAAGAAGATGGCCCTGCCAATGTACGATGAGGAGGGTGAAATGATGGGAAAAATCGTAAGCAACAAGCCTAATGGAAGTGGAAGGAGAAGAACAGTCCATGGCAAGAACAGACAACTGGAGGTTGGAGAAGGTTGTCTTTAAAATTCTGAATGAAATAATGCTATCATGTGAACTGGAAATATATCAGTTATGGAAGAGAAAAAGAAAGACGTGAATGAAAAGATTTTTGGAAGAGGGTGGGAGCTTTCTGAATAAGATTGAGAAATTGTGAAATCCAGGGAATTTCTCAGGGAGGGAAGGAAGGAGGTTCCATGGAAATGGATAAAGTAGAGTATGAATAAATGGAAATGATTTTCAGGAGAATGACTGCATAAAATAGTTCAATGAAAAATGGCAAATCAAACTGAGATGGCACCACACAGCTGATTGAATTGGATGGATAGATGTGTTTAACTAAAGAAAAAACAATTGCTATAAAGTCAAACAGTAATGAGAAGACAGATTTCAGTGGGAAATAAAAAAAATTAATTAACTCTGAGGAATATCACTTGGTTATTTAAACATCTGTTTATATGCACTTCAGGCTGTTAGTATCTGTGAATCAGAAAAATAATTTGTAGTTATTTCTGACCATATTTATTTGTACTCAAATGTCAACTGACCAGGCTTGCTAGATTAAGCTATATTTGAAAGCCAGGTGATTATCTTATGAGCAACACAATTTGGGCCAGCTTATTTTTAAAAGTAGCTTAAAAAGTTGAAACTTGTGAAAAAATTCAAAATTTTATATATATACACACAAACACACACACACACACATATATATATATATATATATACATATATATATATTTACTAAAATATAGCCAATGCAATGCTCAAGAGCCACTCAAGGTAGAAGATTTTGGAACACAGTATGTGATATGAATGTAAGAGAAGGTAAAAGAAAATGAAGATTTTATATATATACTAGCAATAGAGTCCGGTGTTGTCCCGGGGATGTAACAGTAAGAGATAGATCAAGTATCGACCATCATGAAGACTGAAAAATAAAATTGACAAAGATTATTGTTTAAGGTTGACGGACACACATGTCTTAATTAGTTTTTTTTTGTTTTTTGTTTTTTTTTACGAATTGGTCAAACCCAAACTTAAACAAAAACATTGTTTTCAATCGTTATGAGTCTATCGATTGAATAGAATTTTATTATAAACAATTGTCTTGTAAATGGAATTTTTAAAGCATTCTGAATGTAAAAATAAAGAAAAAAGTGTGTAAGAAAAAAAGTGAAATTTTGTTGAAATCGGTTGAAAAATGTAGGAAATCCAATCCCATATATAAACGAACACACACACACACACACAAACAACCTGGGTTTTATAATAAGTATAACTCGATATGAGTTGTCCCCCTTTCATTCTGGCGACAGAATCGTGTTTTCAAATTGACTTTGTGCAAAAACAATTGTGTTTTTCCAATTTTTGGAGCTGTCAGAACCACCGCAAGGTAATTTTACACAGTCCTGTGAAGTTTTGTTGAAATCGGTTGAAAAATGTAGGAAATCCGATCCAATATATAAATGTACAGACACATACACACACACACACACACACACACACACAATCTGCGTTTTATAATAAGTAAGATATATAATAATAATAATTTTATATATATATATATATATAATAATAATAATAATAATAAAATATAATATTATATTCTTACTCTGTCCTGGACATTGAGTTTTACCTGGATTCTATCCTCTTGGAAACGTTTATATGTATATGTATTTGTATGTATGCATGTATATATATTTATATATTTTTTAGATATTGTGTATATTAACCACTATTATATATATATATATATATATATATATATATATATATATATATATATATATACAGTATAAAATTGAATAGATAAGTTGGCTAATAAAACAAGGGCAACACGAAAGGCTACTGATGTGATCAGTACAAAAACATATATTAATTATTAACCAAAGAAAGAAATGAAACACAGAAATTAAGGTCCCAAGTTTGGAATTTTCGGCATACCTGTGTCCTTCAATGTAATTATTTATGAATTCAGTTTGATCAGGAACACATTTCTTTAAGGGGCATTTGAATTCATAGATAGTGTTCGTTCACTGTAATTTTGACTTTGCTGGTGTGTTGTTATTTTTGAGGATAAGGATATTCTAAATTTTAAAAACTACTAAACCAAACCAAGGTATCATAGTGTCACTTGATGTTGAAAATTTATTTACAAACGTCCCCATCGATGAAATCATTTACATTATCTTCAATTCTGTGTATACTAATAATTCTATCCCTCTGCCATCCATCAAACAATTTATATTCAAAAAATTACTACATGCATACACAACCAAAGTCCCATTCTATGACCATAATGGCAACATTTACACCCAAACTAATGGTGTTAGTATGGGAAATCTACTCAGCTCATCCTTTTCCATTTATTACATGTCCTAATGTATAAAATATGGTATTTACACAGGTCTGTAAACCTAAAATGTCTATATGTCTGCTATGCAAATGATATTTTTTTTATTTTTGCAAATAACACTAAAGAAATAGGTACTCTTAAGATCACATTTGAAAAAACTCAGTCCTTAACTTTACCTACGAACTTAATCAAAAAAATAAACTCCCATTCTTAGATGTTCTTGTAGAATATAGTGACAACACTTTTATCACCTCATTATATAGAAAACCCACTAGTAGAAACCCTTATCACCTTAACTTTAAAAGTGAATGCCCACTCAGATAGAAAATAGCAGTGATAAAAACTTCCTAAAAAGAGCACACCAGAGTTTATCCTCTCAACTATTCTTCCTTAAAGAACTCAATAATGTAAAACAGACACTAATTTACAATAGCTTCTCTAACAACCTTATAGACCACCAAATTAGACTATTTCTCCTCAAAGTAAATAATAATAGTGAACATACAGTCAAAAATAACAAATATTTTCTACAAAAACCAAATGCACATTAAGTACAAACAAGATGAATCTTCACTTAGAAATATTATAAAGAAATACACTACCACAATTGACCTGAATAAAAAAATCAAATTAATTATCTACTACAAAAATTTAAAACAGCTAACTTTATCCTCAAAAATAACAACACACTAAGAAAATCAAAATTACAACGAATGAACATTATCTATGAGTTCAAATGCCCCTTAAGGATCTGTGTTCCTGATCAAACCGAATTCATAAATAATCACATTTGGTCACATGACTACATGCTTATCCAGACGCCTTATGTTACACCTATCTGACTACAGCTCTATTAGATCCCATTTAAACACACACACAAACTTACCAAACTCCATCTGAAATATACTACTAGCGGAAAACACAAACATAATAACCTCATCCACATGTAAAAAAAGATTAAAAATAATGGAAGCCTTAATAATAAAAAAGAAAAAGCTAACACTTAATAATATTAACTATGAATACAGCCACAATGTGCTAACTGTGTTTGCAAAATAAAACATCTCTATAGCACTAAAAACATACACACAACGCATACACCCAATTAAATTGAAAAACTAAATTCACCCTTGATAATGGCTAAAAGTATAGCCAAAAACACTTGGAATTGCAGGACATTTGGACAGTTTCTACAAACTCTGTGTTCAAAAAAAGAAAACATTTGTTTGAACACAAGAAAAATTAAACAAAAAGCTTAATCATATTACCTTGTCTGTCGTTTTTAATGAAGCATGCATAAATGAAGGATTGCTGCCTAAATATACAATATATATATATATATATATATATATATATATATATATATATATATATATATATATACACACACATAAATACTTATATTATGAAATGTATTAAGTCAGACAATTATTTTGATATATTTTCTGTTTATACATTATTTGGATAGATACAAATTTTTAAGTAATTACTCTGTTTATAATAAACAGTATTAACTACATTTACTGGCCTGAATATCTGAGAAATATTGTAGAAAATATGTGAATTGAACATATATCCTACACGGAACTGCCATTTGGCCTGATATGCTATATCATGGCAAATTTTTGTTTAAAAACAGTAATATGACTTTGCTAACCAGACACTTCCTCTGTAGCTAAATGGTATAGCACATCATGCCAAATGACAGTTCCGTGTAGGATACAGGTTTGATTCCTGTTTGAGGACATATTTTCTATAATATTTCTCAGACATTCAAATCAGTAAATGTAGTTAATACTGTTTATTATAAACAGAGCATTTACTTAAATATTTGTATCTATAAAAATAACATATAAACTGAAAATATATTAAAAAATATATATATATAATAAAATAAGAATGTTAGGTATTAATATGTATATTATAATTTGATTTAAAATATGGTTTTTATCGCTACACAGTTCTAACCATGTTTCAAAAATGGAAGCAAAAAGCTACGAATTTAATTTTGTAATTACATTAAAGACATTAGTTCCATTTCATCCTCAAGCGAAAAATTCACTTGAGGATGAAATGGAACGAATGTCTTTAATTTAATTACAAAATTAAATTCGTAGCTTTTTGCTTCAATTTTTGAAACATGGTTAGAAATGTCTAACCATATTTTAAATCAATTAATTTATAATATTAATGCTCTGTAAATTTACATTGAGCACTATTTTGTAAAAATAAAAATATCTATAAGAACACCGGATTATATATCTTACTGTTCTTTCTTTTTATTTGTATGTACATATATATATATATATATATATATGAAAGTGGACATTGATGTCAACACCCAGAGTTAGTTTCATGCTTGAATGTAGTCAATGGCCTGACAATTGCATTCAAGCATAAAACAGACTGTTGCTTTTGGGTGTTGGCTTCAATGTTCACTTTTATATTTACCTACACTCTACCCCTGATATTGAATACTTTAATCCATAAACATAGCATAACTTAAAGCTATTTTATCACACACACACACACACACACACACACACACATATATATATATATATATATATATATATATATATATATCTTTTAAACCAGAGATTAGAAATTATGTCCTGTTGTATACATA